AATGTGTTGTTCAGCACGTCATGTTTTTTTTTTTTTTTTTATACAGTGTTGTACTGATTAACTTGAAATTGAATTACCAAATCAGAAATTGCTATTATTTTACGGGCACTCTATGGTCGATGTAGCTTTTTAAAACCTTGTAGATCAGACACTCAAAAGACACTTGATAACTGCGAGAAAAAAAGAAGAAAAAATAGTGTAGGTTTGGATAACTTGAAGCTAAAAGTAGCATAAAGAATACCACAAGAATGGGAAGTTAGTTCTAATATAATCGTTGGACAAGCGTCTAAATTCGGTGGAAAACAGTTATCAGTTGAATGAAGAGCAGCTTTAGAACCTTTTCATTAGTTACCTTAAAAAAACACTTTAAGTTCTGTTCAGCTTACAGTGAAGTAAGCTGCCGATATCTTGCCGACAAAAAGTCTAGTTTCACATATTGTAAAGCGGTTTTTTATTAGTAGATTAAACAACTTGCGGTACTTCACTGTTTCCTTCTGAAAACAACGAGGTTTTTTAGTTTGAATTTTGTTTCAGGCTTGTTTCTGGTTCAGGAGACATTAAGTTGACGAAGGATGGCAACGTGCTTTTACATGAAATGGTATAAGATAAAAATTTTCTCGGTGATGCTTTGATTTGTCTTATTTTGTTATTTAAGCAAATTCAACACCCTACTGCTGCTATGATTGCAAAAGCGTCAACAGCTCAAGACGATGTTACTGGTGATGGAACGACTTCTACGGTGCTTCTTATAGGAGAGTTGCTGAAACAGGCAGAGCTTTATATCACCGAGGTGAGGAAATCATCACAGTAGAAATTGGCTTTTTTTAATTAAATTTTTTTCACAAAGAAAGTGATTCGTTTTTTTGAAATGTTGAAGGTTTTCTTTGGTTGTTCAGACAGTGCACTAACTAAGTAACGTGTCTCTCAAGGAAGTAGACTGGGAGGGAGGTAACATCAAGTTTATTCGTGTTAGAAGTTGCCTTTAAAAGTAGCTCTGGCTTCTTTTTTCAAAATTACTTCTTTATGCCTTAAACATTTATTATCATTTAGAGTTTATACTTCTGCTAAATTGGTCATTAGTTTTACTGCCTTTTAACGCCGTTGCTAAATTTAATAACTTTTTCTAGTGTTCTACCCAAATCCTCATGTCTTTTCTTGCAGGGTGTCCATCCTCGCTTAATTACGAAAGGTTTTGAATACGCAAATACAAAAACTCTTCAGTTTCTAGAGACTTTCAAGCAAACTCGTCCAATCAATCGTCAGCTGCTCATTGAGGTATTGTTTTGGAATTTTTTAAGCATTAGGATTTCTCAGGCGCTAATAGAATGACTTGTGATTGATAATTGTTTTAGGTTGCCAGGACATCTTTGAGAACAAAGTTGCATCAGAAATTGGCTGACCATATCACAGAATGCGTTGTTGACGCTGTTTTGGCCATTAGGAAAGATGACGAATCGGCACCAGATTTGCACATGATTGAGATACAAGTAAACTTTTCAATTCTTGTTATCATTGCGATTGATTGCTTTTAATACCTCCGGTCTTCATTTCTGTATTTGGTATCTTTTAGAAAAACAGTCGACTTTTTTTTTTAGGAAATGCATCACGAAACTGATATGGACACCACATTAATTCGTGGGTTAGTTCTTGATCATGGTGCGCGTCATCCAGATATGCCGAAAAATATTAAAGATGCTTACATCCTTACGTGCAATGTTTCGCTGGAGTACGAGAAAACGTCAGGAACCTTTCTATTTTCAAATGCTGTTTCAAAATTATTTTTTTGAACAGAAGTTATTATGAATTTAATGTTGAAAATTGGTTCTGAAATCCACATTTTTTTTTCTGAAGTACAGCCAACTTAAAGAGTTGTTTGCCATTTTAGAGAAGTAAATGCGGGGCTTTTTTACAAGACTGCAGCTGAAAGGGAACGCCTTTTGGCTGCAGAAAGAGAATTTATCACGAAACGAGTGTACAAAATAGTGGAGCTTAAAAAATTGGTTTGTGATGATGCAGAAAAAAAGGATGGCAAAAAACGAGGTTTCGTTGTTATTAACCAAAAAGTGAGTTTTGCATCATAGTTGTGTGACTTGTTTCTATAAACTTCTTTTCTTCCAAACGGACAAAAAAAAAAGGTCGTTGTTTTACCATTTAACGTCTGTTTTGAACCATTTTTGTTGTTTTGGTACTGTCAATTAATTCTTTGGTAAACTAATTATTGCTCTGATTTAGAGTCACTTAATTTCAAGCCATTGATCATGTTTGCTTTTACTATTTGATAATACAGCTCATCTGTTTTTTCAAAAGCTTAGAGGCTGTCTTTTTAACTTTCTTGCTAGAATATATTAAATGATTGAGACTGAGGGTCATTTTCTTGCCTCAATAGCTTTCTTTAGGGGATCGACCCTCCTTCTTTGGATATTCTGGCACAACATGGTATCATGGCGCTCCGAAGGGCAAAGAGAAGAAATATGGAGCGTTTGCAGTTAGCTGTGGGTGGTGAGGCTGTAAATTCAGTGGATGACCTTACACCAAAAGTTCTTGGCTTTGCAGGCTCTGTATACGAACATGTTTTGGTTAGAAATATCCATTCGTTTTTCTACTGTCTTCGCTGAATTGGCTAGCATTGTTGATGAACTCTTTTTCTTCAAAATTTGAGTGAATGGTGAACGTTCCTTCATGCAACTATTGCTTTAGGGAGAAGATAAATACACGTTTATTGAAGAGTGCAAGGATCCAAAATCAGTTACACTGCTAATGAAAGGTCCAAACAAGCATACGATTGTACAAATTAAAGATGCTCTCCATGATGGGTTACGTGCTGTTTTCAATACTCTCAGTGACAGTATGTGTTATTTCCATTTCTAAAATGAGAATTTAGTTTATTTCTGGTCACTTAACAATTTGTCATTCTAGAGGCTGTGGTACCAGGTGCAGGGGCATTTGAAATTGCAGCACATTGCATGCTGAAGAAAGAAATTGATTGCGTCAAAGGGAGAGGTAAATTAGGTGTGCAGGTAAACTGATTGTTCCAGTTTTTCAATTTTTTGTTCCTGCTTCTCTTGCATTTTAAAATTTCTTTTGTCTTTCAAACGAAAGGCTTGAGCTCAGACTTTTATTTTAGGCCTATGCTGACGCACTTCTAGTCATTCCAAAAACTTTGGCTTTGAATGCAGGCTTTGATGCCCAAGACACTATTGTGAAACTTGTCCAGGAGTACCAAAGCAACGAAGGCAAGTTACCCGTTGGTCTAGATATCCAGTCTGGTGAACCATG